CCACTTACGTTCAGAGATAATCAAAGCAGTAAATTCAGTAACTTATAATTAAGAGCAAAATCATCATGCAATTTTTAGAATATATCTTCAGTGCTACTCACTGCCCTCCCCGTGCCATTCCTAGTCCTTCCTTCGTATACCTGGCACACCTTCCTTTTCACTTTTCCCCTTCAGGTTCTTTTTCTCCATTCCATCTGCAGTAGCCGAATGACCTAGCAGAGAGGCTGCCTTACCTCTCTGCACCCAGACCTGAAGTAGGAGAGAACCTACTCATTATCATCTAGCACTAATGTAAATGGGGTGCTTCCCTCCCAGGATCTTTGTCTTTCGATAGAAATCACCGTTCTGGTTCTAACTGTGAAATGTCACTTGTCTTTGAGTAGGAAGCAGTCTACTTCACATGACGTGTTTTCCAACGTCTACACATGATTTAGTGATTTGAAGTCGTGATCAAAAATCTGCTTACTCTAGAAAAGAATTAAGAACATTAGTTTTTAGTCCATTTTGTGTTTTTGAAATCATGCTTTTCTTTCTGAGAGCTGGGAGAAATAGATTAAAAGGTTTTTTTGAATTCGGATCTTCAGAACTACCCTTGACAAAGTACCTGAGGTAACTGAATCATAAATACGCTTTTACATCATACAATTGACATGATTTTAAATTGTGTATAACATACACAGCAGTATGTTTTTTATCTTCTGGAGAGGAGTTTCAGGGCTTCTGGCTTAAATAGTTTCCCCAGCTGTATTGATGTAGGCTATATGAGTGAAATAGTGAAGTGTATTTAAGTCTATTTAAGCATATATACTTTTATAAAATGTTAACTTTGTGTTAGTTAATGGATTAGCAATACCTTTGTCATAGGTAGCACTACTGTATTCAGAGAATTCTGATTATAAAACCAAATTCTATTTTGAAAGACATCCGGGCATAATATTAAGATATTTAAAATTTTTTCTATATTTTGGAGTAGTTCAAAAAATTTAACTTTTCTCGTATTTTAAAAATTTTCTATTAGCATTGTCTGAATACTGCCAGTGTTTTTTCTTTTTAAGGGATTCTGTTTCTGGAAGTTTATAAGCATATTGCAAATTTATAATCCCATCTTTTCTTTCCTCAACTCTGTGTACAGGGCCCTGTATATTTCCTTGAAGATGGGAAATCCACTATCTCACTGAATGACGCTTTGATGTGGGCAAAGGTGAACCCATTCTCACCATTAGGGACTGGAATACGACTCAACCCATTTTGACAGAAAGTTTTTCTCCTTGTTTGTTTGTTTTTTTTTAAAGACCTTTTGTGGGTTAGTATTACTTTAGCCTTTGTTGTCCAAGAGCCAAAGGTTGAGGGGAACGGGGATGGTGGGGAATAAGAGTTGACTTTATAAATTAACTTCAAATAATAAAATATTTATATGATTTCACGGAAAAATAGATGTGTCCTTTATAAAATAGAATAGCCATATTAGGGAGAAAGATAATATTTAAATTATAAAAGGCTGAAGTATATAAAAGAGCATATATAAGTTTCATAAAGTTACCAAAGTTTCATAAAAGTACCAAAATATTATATTGTTGAAACATTGAAACATATTAAATAATACAACACCCACAATAGTGCTTGACATAGAATAAGTAGTTACTGAATATTGGAATGACTGAGTGTTTTGACATATCAAAATGTAAGGTATGTATGACAGACCTTCAAGTTAACCAACACCCATACTGTCCTCTGTAAAATATATAGTAAACCAGTCGTTTCAGTTCATATTTAATAAGTTTCCAATAATGAGTTTGATAGGTATCAATAAATGGATACACAGTCAAAATACTTCCAAGTTTTATTATTTTTTAAAGAAAGCATTACCAAGTCTTTTGAACTGAAAGTAAATGTCCAGTTATAAAGGAATAGGTTCTATAAGCATAACAAAAATTGAGGAGTAAAAAACACAAATGCAGTTAAATCTGTATGAGAATTTACAGGTATGTATGATAATAGTTTTTATTACCATTTAATATTTACAGTAATTTCTAATTGATTTATATTAACTCTATAACATAATTTATTTGAAAAAATTAGCTTCAAAGAAATTTCTGTAAGTACATATTAGTTGAAATTTGGGGTATATTATAAACTCAAGTTTTTTTTAAATATTAAAAGAGCAAAACTATTAAAAAAAAAAAAAAGCCTGAGAAATGACTGCAAGTATTTCAGTTGCACTAGAATTCTCACTCAGAGGTCTATGAAATTAATGCATTACTGGGAAGAACGGTACTTTGATACTCAGACTGTTTTACAGAATTTATAATATAGATGTTTTTGTCTTACTACAGAGTGAGTTCCTATAATTAGAATAATTGTGGTTTTTATTATCTTTAAACTTGGTGCACTTAAAATAATTTTAAAATTTTCTTTAACAAGATTCTTAAAACAGTAAATAATATATATTATGTATATATCTATTGCATTGACCAGCTCTAACTGTCAAAAAGATGTTATGGGCCTAAATTCTATTTTATAAAAAAAATTTAATGAACATTATAGAAGAGAATGTATGCAGTGCATCAAAAGTATGAAACTTTTTTTAATCCTTAGTGATAGGCATAACTCAAAATTTTTTAGATGAGACAGATTTTTCATTAGCATGTATGTAGTAAAATCTTTTCATTCATATATAGCGGTTGAACTCCTACTATAATTCTCCTTATTTTTGTTTTAAAATAGATTAAGAAGCCTATATTTTGTGCTTTAACTGCTTTAAAAGATCCACTGACTGTAAGTTATACATATATAAATGATTGTTTCCTTCTTCATTTTAAATGAATGCAGGAAAATATTTTATGTATAAACTATGAAAAATTCATATAACTCTTTAGCACATGAAGACAATAGAGGAGTAACCCAATTTGTGTCTAAAATCTAAATTGGATTGATTCAAGTACAAATCGGTTATTCTGACTTCTACAGTGTTCTATACCTTATTACCAATTATAACTATGAATTCCTCATAGAACTGTGTCATTTGACCATGTCAGTTTGCATCTCTTGTGCCTTAATATGAAAAACAAAGCAATTTTTTAAATTTATAGAAGGTTTTTCTATTGTTAAATTTCATATGTATGAAACCCAAATAATATGAACTTATTTTACTACTAAGAAGATGTCTATATTACTGATGTGTACAAATTATTTTCCAAGTTTAATTATGCTTTTATGAAAGAAGTCTCATTAGACAATGGTTTTAATAACATTGGAAAAATATTTTGCCTATAAAAATTACCAGATGGTTAACACAGTTGCGACATCAAAATGAGTTATATCTTGTGAAAATATGATTTTCATGTCAATCAAAATTTATATATATTTATTGTCTATATTTCCATGAAATCATCCAGAGGTGTTCAGGATCATCATCGCAGTAAAGCAATGACTTTTATTTTGTTGTCCTTATAATAGGAAGATTGACACTTTTTCAGTCTTAAGTCAAGAGGCATTCTGAATATAGTAAAGCCTCACCAATTGTTTATAAAACTTAGGGTTTCTTATTTAGTGTAGCAGTAATACAGAAGATATCTTCATTGTCAACTCTTACTAAGTTTTTATTGTGCCATATCTTTGAAACATTTATTCCTAAAGTAACTGATGAAAGTACTTTTATGCTAAATTTAAATACCATAGGACTGTGCTTAATATGGCCTGTAGTTATCTAGATTTTTATGTATATAGGTATGAATGTATTTCAGGTCCCCTGAATTTCCATAAATACCGCATTAAAACCAGACATGACAGAGTTAACTGCTAAGATGAGCATCAGTATTGTCCTCCAAACCACCACCGAGAGAACACTGTTTCTTCATAAAGGCTGGGTCTGAGTCATCAGAGATGTGAAGGGCTTGAGCTACCAAGTGACTACCTTACTTGGAAACCTAGAAAAATCACTTTGGACTGTCAGGAGGAGGATTCCCCAAGAAAAACTGACTACAATAAACCCTAAACTAATGAATACTAACAGTGTATCCAGAGCCTTCCGTTCGTGGTAAGCGTTCTGTGGATTGGAAACTCTCCTAGAGGAGGTGCTCTAGCTCCTAGAAAAGCTCCTTGCTTCTTTCTGCCACAGATCCCTGGTGAAGCAAATGGCCTTCCTCAGATCCGCCTGTAGTGTTGGCCTCTCAATACAACTCCTCTTCAGGAAGCTCTTGAAGCTGCCGCTTTGCCTATGTCTGCTACCTTCATGTTCTTATGCACTCAAGTGAAACTTGTAAGACAAGATCATCTTTTCCACAGCTCTCCAAAGGCCCTGCAGGAATCCTGGGAACTTACCATAGTCAGGCCATGAGTGATTAGCTTTTTCAGGAGATTGAACATACGGTCGAGAGAAGAAAAAAGAAACTTTTAAAATGACTGTTTATCCAAATCTAATCCTTCTCTCTGGATCTTTTCCCCTGCCAAGGTTCAGAAGACTTGTTCCTATAACCCTTTCCTAAGGAACTATATTTTATGGGTTGAAAGTTATTCTCATAATCTTCTACTTTAGATTTGTCCCATTAGAATGCAAGGTTCACAGATAAATAATCTATAGCTGGTAAGATATGCATTTAAACTATACCCTTTACCTCAGATAAAACTGGATTCTAAACACACTCCCAAGAAGTAATCCTATTTCATCGGGGCTCTCTTTACTTTCTTTTACTAAATATTACCTGCCCCAACATGTGAAATTAAACTGGGAAGTCTCTGGAGATAGAAATTCTAATAAAGCCAAGCCTTCAAAAATGCAGAACCACTGACAAGAGTTTAGCTGGAAATTGACAGGCACGTCATGGGATTCCGCATTCGAAATACTGTTGGAAGTCGCAAATGAGACTGTTAATGAGATAGCATAAAGGCATGAATAATTCCCATTGAAGAAAAATGTCTGCATGTGAATATAAAATTATAAGAATGTAAGAAATATCATTACTCTTTCAAAATATCAGCTCGCTTTGGTTTCCTTCTACTGAAATTATGAGGAGTGGAAGCAACCAGTAGGAAATGTTTAACTGACCTGAATGATTTGCTAAACACCAGAACCAAATTCCAAGTGAAGCACAATTTTCCTTTCCCACGACTCACTATCAAAAGGGACACCTATTTTTAAAAAATGTTTCAAGCCAGGCTATTTATGGGGGTAAACAAGGTTCTCTGTGGGCCAGTGTATAATAATAATCATTCAGAATAAATTTGTTTATAAATGCATGTGATGTGTGAATGTATATCAGGCAAAGTAGTAGCTCTTTTCATTTCTAATGAGGAAAATGTATTACAAAGTAGACTCACCATTCCTACAGGATTTATGAGAAATAACTTTTACTCATGGTGAATTATGTTAAACTGTACCTTTAAAATTATTCTTGCTCATTCTGTATTATTTGATTTTGTATTTTTAACAGTAACTGCACGGGTGTTTAATAAATGGTCGTTGAATTGAAAAAGCATGTTCTTCAGCCCAATTATGGATGAGACACCACTTTAATTTACTAATATATCCAAGACTAGGTAATTCTATCCCCTTAGTGTGGCAGGAGATGGTGGCATCGCTTCTTCAAAGCCATTAGATGGGTACTTTTCAAGCTTACTTTTCCTCGTTTCTGATAGATTTCCTGGCAGATTCAAAAGAACATCTTCCAGCTTGCTTCACACACGTTTCTTAAGTGGATTGCCACCAGCACCTGTATTTCCTGGAATATTTAAATAAACAACATTAAAATAAGTTTGTGGTTATTAGATATTTGCACAATGATCAGTGTTTCTAACACGTGAAACATGCAGAATGCTGGGCAGCAGGCTGAGCGCAGGTTCGTGCAAATGTCTGGTAAACAGAATATTTAAAGCATGCGTGAGAATAGCCCTAAGTAAGAAATCTGAATGTCACCCACTTCCAAAAGTCATTAGCCACGCCTGAAATAGCCAGGGCTGATTTGGGTGAATCTGACACCCAATATGCCTCAGTTATTTTTGGACGTTGCTTCTGAAAGCAGCTGAGGCAACAGTGCCATGATTTTCACAGTGCCAAGGTTTGGCAGACAGAGTTCATCGCTGAGTCTCTGGAACTCAGCACTGAAGCCTCCAAGCTGCCCAGACTCAGTTCGAACAGGAGGAGCCAGTGACACCTAAGAAATCTGCTCCCCCCAACCCCCCGCTGGTCTCATATTTGCTAGATGTGAGGTTTAGGAAAACAAATGGAAGAATTTAAGTGTTAAACAAAACAAAAAAGTAATGACCAATCTAACAATTTTCACCACCTCTCAATCATTAGAAGCTTTTCAGATGAATGCCCTGTGGTTTCAGTGTCATGTGCACGCAATCTTAGATGGTAAACTGGGGCCCATTTCCTGTGGTCTAGTTCTGCTTCTCCTTCCACTGACTTTCAAATTCTGTGAGCTGACCTGAGCTTACCACTCTACTCTTTTATGAGAAACAACTGAAAAAGGAGGAGAGTGGGGAGATGGGGTAACCCACAGGAGAGGGGAATGATGGGCATGAAGGGGGCCACGTGATGTGAGGAGAACTGGGTGTTCTACACAACTAGTGAATCACTGAACACCACGCCAAAAACGAACGATGTACTATATGCTGGCTACTTGAATTTAAATTTAAAAAAGAACTGAAATGGAATCCCTTGAACGAATTTGGGAAGAAAATAAAATTGAGCAAAACAGCTGTCATCCGTATAATTACCAAAGTCTGTTCAATTTGCTCATTACTTTCCATTCTGCCTAGATTAAGAGAATCCAGGTATCTGGAATAGGACTGAGAGACATAAAAAGACAAAAGCCTGTTTCTTCTCATCCTGATCTGCCCTGAAAACCCCCATAGGCCCATCATCCACTTTTAAAAGGACAGAAAAAGACCACTGAAGTGAGAGGGACTCAGAAAAAGGGAGCACTGAGAGGATAAAATGGGGGAGAAGTTATTCATAGCGGCTCACACATGATTCAAATTGTAAAAGCAGGAATCCACTCTACTAGGGAGTTCTGATCTGAAATAATGATAGCATTATTTTTCCAAAAAGTCCTATGTGACCTTGAAGTTTTTCTGAAAAGAGAACAGAAATGAGGAATGCTCTTTAGCAATTCAAGTCCTGGGAGGCATCATTTTCTCAAATATGGACCCTTTGCATTTGTTTCTCACACTGGAAGGAAGCCCTGCTGCAACCCTGTTCTTCTGCCGTTTCTCTGCAGGTCCCAAAGCAAGTGGTCCTGTGCTTCCCTGGCCCCAGTCAGGTCCAAGCAGCTGGAGCGGTTCATGAGCAAGTGAACCCAAAGCGCCCCGTGCAGGCTACCCCCCCACACACACACCGGGGCTTCCACTGCAGGCCTCCCTATGGGCAGGAGGTTGAGACAGGTGAAGGAGAGGCTGTGGGCCCAGAATCTGAGGGTGGAACTATGGATACATTTTTTTTTTTTTTTTCCATAGAAACATCATTAACTCACTCTGTTGGGTCCTGTCGTGCTGAGTTCCATGCCTCAGGCATGTGAGGAGTTGGAGGTTTTCATGGCCTGGCCTAATGTCTAGATGTTAAGTGCGCCCCGAGAAATGGTAGCTCTAGCGGGCCTTTAGCTAGAGAGTGATCAAATAGAGCTTGGAAAACACTCGATTGGTACCTCTGCTCTTTAATATTTACAATGCACATTAGCATATAAAAGGCTCTGTGAAATCCTAAGCTGAAAGGAAGGAATCTGTTGACATTGCTTTTCCAGACCTTATGTAAATAAAGACCTTTTTTTTCTCCCATGAAATCCCTTAGCATGGTAGAAAGCATCCCCTGTAGCAGATGTCCCCAAATATCTTCCATCAAAGGCCTAACAGCCAATATTTCAGGCTTCGTGGTAGGTTTGTCAGATAAAAGATGGACCCTCAGTTAAATCTGAATTTCAGATAAACTGAATAATTTTTAATAAATATATGTCCTCAACATGTCCCCAGAATTATTAGTTGTATTGGTTCTGTCTGTATTCGCTAAGTCTAGAAACTTCTTTGTGGGCAACACCGGGCTGTGACTGGGCTGTGACTGGGCTCTGCTGTTGGGCGAAATGTGCCGCAGACAAGGCATAAAGAACAGGCGTGGCCAGCTTCCAATACAACGTTATTTATGGACGTGGAAATTTGAATTTTATATAATGTTCTTGTGTCAGGAAATATAACTTTTCTTTTGATATATTTTTTTCAGCCACAGAAGAATGTGAAAGCCATCCTTAACTTGCAGGCTGTGTAAAAAAACAGGCAGGATACTGACTTGGGCCTGTGGGCTGTGGTTTGCCATGCTATCAATGCTTTCTGAACTACCAGGGTTTAAACAAGTGGCTTCTCATGATACAACCGCTGGGGAAATTAAGGCATGCATGTGTCCTTTGCTGCCTTGAGACGATCCGTCACCCCTGCTAGAGAACTGAGCTTTGAGCTCTGCTGATGAGCCCTGCCTGTTCCAGACTCACCTGCCTCTGAGAAATCATAGCAGAAATGATGGTGCTTAGCAGAACCCGGGGCCCTCCCATCTGTCAAAAGAATAGCAGCCTAGCAACCCTATGCACAGTGGTAGACTGAAGGCCTAGACCGACGTTTTAATTACTTTTGTGAAATGTAAAGGAACAAAGTAGAAACAGTCATTTAACTGGTAACAAGTTAAAAATAACAACTCACGTAAAACAGGAACAACGCCTTCCCTCGAAATCATGGCCTTGTGCTTGCACCCAGAGACTTGGGGAGGAAGACGACTGAGAGTAAGTTCTCCCACTGTTGGTTTAACCTCAAACCATTCTAGAAAATATGAGTACAGAAACTCTTGGTTAGAAATTCACTACGGCCATGGCCAAAATAAGACGCCACAGTTTACAAATTGGGCAAATTCTTTAGACACCTCTTTAATCATCGTCTTAAGAGTGGTGTGGAAAGGGAGGTTATTAGACCTTTCCCCACATTGTCCATACCTCTGAGCCACAAAATAGTTGCTTTAAAGACAATATATTTGTGTTCCTATTGGTTTCTTAATAAGTTTTTTTCTTAATAATATGTATACAGAAAAGTGGTCAAATCATGTGTTTGCAGTCTATCAAATTTTTGGAATGAATACACCTGGGTTGTATTATTAGTACAAATCCTCTGCTTATGCCTCCCATACAGCACCCTAAAAAGAGAACACTGTATTGACTTCTGTCATAACAGGTGAGATGTTATTTTTATATTTCATGCATGTTTTTATATTTCATATAACAAAATCATACAGGATTTATTTCATTTTTCAAAACTGTTTATACTATAAAAAGAGTGACTTAAAATTATTTCTATGTTTCCTACATTTCTCATTAAATCTATAAACTATCATACTTGGACATTAATTTCCCTGTGCTTCTAAAGATCACTTACCCCTCCTCTGTAGCCCCCAACCTTCACTGAGGCTTGAAGAAGAGTCTAAGGTAATTTCTACTCATCAGTCAGCACCAGTTGGTGCTCTATACAGCTCTGGTCAGTAACATTCTCAGACCTATAATTATCATAGTTAATTACTTTGAGCTTAAAATCAGGAGTCTCAAAAATCAAGACTGGTGAGAATAGAATATTGTTCAAGAATCTGAAGGGTTGAAGTGGTCCATAGCTAAAGGGAAATTGGTCAAAGAAAGATAAGAGAGATAGAGGTTAGCTTTGCACAAAGAGGGACATTCAAAGAGAAAATTAAATAGTTGTGTTTTGTTCTAGAAATCCCAACTAGAGCCAATGAGAAGCAAAAATGGTGAGATCAACTAAAGGTAAGCAAATGTTAGGTATAAAGAATAATTGTATCTGTTTTGTGGTATTAAAAAAATAATTTGACAAGTAAAATGCTGAAGAGTGGTAGGGGGCTGGCCAGGAGTCATCAGTGTCATAGTGTTTTAGGGTCCTTATAGTTAGAGAAAGTAAAGATATTAATTTCAGATTAGGATAAATTTACATGTTAAAATGTTTAGGGTGGCACTAAAAAGCGTAGAAACTTAAAATTTTCCAAAGTAGTAGGGATAAGGTGTGGGGGGAGTCTTTTAAAAAAATTTAATCTGAAAGAAAACACAGGTGAGACAAAAACAAGAAACAGAAAAAGAAAGCAAAGACCATGAAATAATATGATAGATGTGAATGCAAATGTAACAGTAGGCAGTTCTACTGAATTCATAACATTTAAAGTCCCAGTCAATGAAATAACAAAGATCCATGCAACAGGATACTTCAAAGATGAATTGCAAGACTTGCTTTAGCAAGTGTCAGCACTTACTGTAAAGCAATAGTAACTAAGACAGTGTGGTGTTGCAGTCACACAAGGGTAGACAAGACCAGCAAGTGCCCGGAAACAGGCCCATATATATAAAGAAACTGGAAACATTTGAGACATGAGGGTGTTATGAACCAGTGAGAAAAGAACAAGATTGTTCAAGAAATGGTCTGCAACAGAACTTGTTCTCCATTTCATTTGCAGACAAATTCAGATCTTAAGAGACTAACCCCTTACCAGATCTATGCTTTGCAAACATTTTTTTTTCCATTTTATAGGTTCCTTTTTCACTCTTGTTTTCTTTTTTATGTGGAAGCCTTTTTGATAGAATCCCATGTTTGTTTTGCTTTTGTTTCTTGTGCTTCAGATGTCATCTCCAAAAAATCATCGCCAATGCCAGTGTCAAGAAAGTTTTTTCCTGTGTACTCTTCTAGTTGTTTTATGGCTTCGGGTCTTATGTTTAAGACCTATTCTGGTCTTATGCTGGAGTGTGAGGTAAGGGTCCAATCTCATTCTTCCTACAAATGCATATCCAATTTTCTCAGCACGATTTGTTGAGATTATCTTTTCCCCATTGTGTGTTCTTGGCATCCTTATTGAAGATCAAGTGTCTGTAAATGCATGGATGTATTTCTGGACTTGCCATTTTGTTTCATTGGTCTATATGTTTTGATGGCAGTATCTTACTATTTTAATTACTATAGCTTTGTATTACAGTGTGAAATCAGGAAGTGTGATGCCTCCAGCTTTGTTCTTCTTTCTCAAGATTGCTTTTGGCTTTTTGGGTTCTTTTTTGTTTCCATAGGAATTCAGGATTGTTTTTTCTATTTCTGTAAAGACTACCATTGAAATTTTGCAAGCTTGCTTTGAATCTATAGATCAATTGGGTAGTATAGACATTTTAACAATATTAATTCTGATTAATGATTAATTAATGAACATGGGATGTCTTTCCATTTATCTGTCTTCTTTTATTTCCTTCACCAATATTTTATAATTCATAATGTTTAACTATGTAAAATGTAATATCCAAAACATATAAGGACTCATACAATTCAATAGCGGACAAAACAAATAACCCAACTAAAAACTGGGTAAAGGACCTGAGCAGACATTTCTCAAAATAAGAAATGCAGGAGCACTGCCTGTCTTGGTTAGTGGAGTGTGTGACTCCCGATCTTGGAGTTATGAGTTTGAGCCCCATGTTGAGTGTAGATCGTACTTAAAAATACAGTCTTTTGGGGCACCTGGGTGGCTCAGTGGGTTAAAGCTTCTACCTTCAGCTCAGGTCATGATCCCAGGGTCCTGGGATCAAGCCCCACATCCGGCTCTCTGCTCAGCAGGGACCCTGCTTCCCCCCTCCACCCCCACTCTGCCTGCTTCTGCCTACCTGTGATTTCTGTCTGTCAAATAAATAAATAAAATATTTTTTAAAAATAAAGTCTTTTAAAAAACAAGATATACAAATGGCCAACAGATATTTAAAGAGGTACTCAACATCACTAATCATGATCAGTAATCAGGGAAATGCAATCAAAACCACAGTAATATATCATCATACACCTGTTAGAATCACTATTATCAAAAAAGACAAAATATAAAAAGTGTTGGTGAGAATGTGGAAGAAAAGAGAATGTGGAAAAAAAGAAAATTTACATTCTGTTGGCAGAATGTAAATTTGTACAGCCATTATGGAAAATAGTATAAAGACCCAAAATTAAAAATAGAAATACTGTACGATCCAACAATACCATTTCTGGGTATATATCCAAAGGAAATGAAATCGGTATTTCAGAGCGGTATCTGTACCATGTTCATTGCAACATTATTCATAGTAGCCAAAGATATGGAAATGTCCAAATTGCATGAATGTATAAAGAAAATGCAGTATGAATGTGTACACACACACACACACATACACACAAATGGAATATTAATCAGCCTTTATGCTAAATGAAATAAGCCAGACATGGAAAAACAAATACTGCATGATTTCACTTCTAGGTGGACTCAAAAATAGAGTCATAGGAGCAGAGAGTAGAATGGTAATGTCCAGGGATTGGGGGAAGGGGACCTGGGGAGATGCTGGTCAAAGTTATGCAAGATGGATAAATTCTGCAGGTCTAGTATAAAGCATGGTGACTAAAGTTAATAGTGTATTGTGTACTTGAAATTTCCTAAGAGTGTTGATCCTAAGCATACTCACCATACCAAGCAAACAAAGAAAAAAAGAAAAAAGAAGGAAACAAAGAAAATTACAATCATGTGAGATGATGGATATGTTTGATTGCAGTGATTATACAAGTATATGTACATCAAAACATGAAGTTGTACACCTTAAATATATATACTTTCTATTTGTCAATTATTACTCAATAAAGTTGAAGAAAATCTTAAAAGTGAAAGGCTAACATAGCAACAATTTTCTGGATATGTCTCCTGAGGCAAGGGAAATAAAAACAAAATAAACTATTGGGACTACATCAAAATAAAAAGCTTCTGCACAGTGAAGGAAACAATCAATAAAACTAAAAGGCAATCTGTGGAATGGGAGAAGGTATTTGCAAATGACGTATGTGATAAATAGTCAGTATCCAAAAAATATAAAGAACTTATACAACTCAACACCCCCAAAAAAATCCAATTTAAAAATAGGCAGAAGACATAAACAGACATTTCTTCAAAGAAGACATCCAGATGGTCAACAGATACACGAAAAGATGCTCAACATCACTCATTATCAGGGAAATGCAAATCAAAATTACAGTCAGATACCATTTCACACCTGTGAGAATCACTAAAATCAACGACACAAGAAAGAAGTGTTGGTGAGCATGTGGAGAAAAAGACACCCTCACGCACTGTCGGTGGGAATGCAAACTCATGCAGCCACTGTGGAAAACAATATGGAGCTTCCTTAAAAACAGAACCACCCAACAATCCAGTAATCATGCTATTGGGTATTCACAGAAAGAATACAAAAACACTAATTCAAAGAAATTAATATACTTCTGTGTTTATTGCAGCATTATTTACTCTAGCTAAACTATGGAAGCAGTCCAGGTGTCCATCGATAAATGAATAAAGAAGAGGTAGTATGTGTGTGTACGTAAATAATGGAATTTTACTCAACCGTAAAAATGAATGAAATCTTGCCATTTACAACAATGTGGATGAGGCTAGAGAGTACAATGCTAAGCCAAATAAATCAGAGAAAGACAAATACCGTATGATTTCCCTCATATGTGGACTTTAAGAAACAAAACAATTGAGCAAGGGAAAAAAAAGAGCAGCAAACCAAAAAACAGACTGTTAACTCTAGAGAACAAACTGAAAGTTACCAGAGGCAGGTGGATGGGGGGGATGGGCGCAGTAGGTGATGGGGATGAAGGTGTGCACTTGTGATGAGCACTGGGCGACATGTGGAGGTGTTGAATGACTATATTATACACCTGAAACGAATACAACACTGTATGCTAACTTTACTGGAATTGAAAATTAAAAAAATAAAAGGGAAGGGCTAAAGTAACTTCAGGAAATTTAAATATAGGAGAATTTTTTTATAACCCCATGATGCCAACAGTATTAACCATGGAGTTTGTATTTGTTTTTCATTTCTGCCATAACAAATTTCCATAAATTTGGTGACTTACAAACAACAGACATTTTTATCTCAGAGTATAGAAATCTGAGAGCTTCTTTTAGAGTCTCACCGGGCTGAAATCAAGGTGTTGGCAGGGCGGCATTCCTTCTGGAAGCCCTGGGGATGAATCCTCTCCCATGCTCATTCGGGTTTTTGGCAGAATGTGATTCCTTGCATCTCTAGGTCCGAAGTCGCTATCTGGTTGCTGGCTGTCCCTAAGGTTGTTCTTCGCTCTTTGAGGCCACGCCCCTACCTTCCTGTGGTCTCTGAATGGCCCCAGCAACAAGAGAAGGTTGAGGCCCTCTCACACTTCAGATCACTCCTATTTCCTCTTCTGCCTCATTGCTCAATTCCACTTGGAGAAAGATCTCTGCTTTTAAGTGCTCCTGTGATTAGACTGGACCCACTGAGTAGCTCAGCATTAACTCCCTACTTCAAGGTCTGCAGCTTCTGCAAAGCCTCTTTTGCCATGTTATGCCACATATTCACAGGTGCCGGGGCCTCGGGCATGAACAAGAATGGGAACCCCATTCTGCCTACTACAAAGATGGATAGAATCTAAATTAAGAAATATACATGAATGAAATTAAGAACATAAATTGTGTGCATGAACTATTTTTTTTTAACATCAAGCATATTATAAACAAAGGTGGCACAACAGTGGTCACTCTCAGAGGGTACTATGGAGAATCCAGTCAGAAGGACACCGGCAGAATGTGAAGGTATCGATAATGTGTCACGTCATAGAGCATAAAGGAGGGATACAGAAATGTTGAACCATTGTCGTCTTTAAATTGTACATACACATTATATGCATGCATGTATGACAAAAGTCATAGCAAAATTTGAATGTTTAAGAGACATACAAAAGAATATGAACATAAAATTCCACAACAGGATTAATAACCTCAATTCTTTCTCTACTCACAAATTCATGAGTGGAACCAGAAGTGAGAGCAAATCAAGGAAGAGAAACAAACAATGACAGGCAATGGCAGATGAACAAAGTAATGGAGAACAAAATGCAATATACCCAACTCACAGTTAGGGTGAAGTGACAGTTACTGCTCTCCTTTCCTTCCAGGGACTAGAGAGCAAATGGCTCTTCAGAAAATTGGGGTTCAAAAGAGAGGAATCCTAATGACTACAGCTACCTTATTCCCTAATGGTTTGGATGCCATGGTCACGATGAAGTCACTACATGCTGGAATCAAGGACTAAAAAAATTCCAGGACTTCCAGGACACGAGTGGTGTTAGAAAAGAAAAAGAGAGAGAGAGAGAAAGTTTACTTGCCATCTGTTGGGACTCTGATGGCAAATGCTCTGGATGCTTTGAGAATATTTCAGTGATACCTCTGGAAGGTTGCCAAGGGTTACCCCAATCTGCCTTGCCTTACCTTACCCAATCTACGCCTGGAAGCTACTACAGAAAGGATAACACTGACCATATGATAAAGAGCATCTAGAGTGAATCATGGTAGTCAGGTGTTTCCTGTAGTACTTACATCCTGATGAAGTCTTAAATATTCCCATCTTCTTTAGTAACTTAAGACGCTATGTGAACTTATTTCCCACAAATTTTATGTGAACACTTGCACTAGCATTTTTCTTCAAAGTATTAATATACTAGGTTAAGCTATGCTTGCATTAGAAAAATTATTACATAGGGGCGCCTGGGTGGCTCAGTAGGTTAAAGCCTCTGCCTTCGGCTCAGGTCATGATCTCAGGGTCTTGGGATAGGGTCCTGGGATCAGCCCCGCATTGGGTTCTCTGCTCAGCAGGGAGCCTGCTTCCCCCTCTCTCTCTGCCTGCCTCTCTGCCTCCTTGTGATCTCTGTCAAATAAATAAATAAAATCTTTTTAAAAAAAAAGAAAAATCATTACATAAACCACTCCAATGATAATAAATCATTCCACTGCTAGCATAAAGTAGCTATTTTCCCTTTAAGCCAGCGACAGCGAAAGTAGAAATGAGATAGACAACAACCAGCTTTTCTTTCATCTGTACTCAAGTATAGCTTCATTAAGTTGGGAAGAACTCAACTATTTCCAAGGAAAACTTACTTGGATTCAATTTTCTGCTCAGTTTTCTTTGCAACATTTGTAAAAGCAAGAGGAACTCTACTTTAAGTTCATTGCTGAGTATGTTGGGATTGCTTATCATTTCGGATAACCTGATGTTATTTTTAATCGACTTTGAAGCTGTAGACCGAGGAACCAGGGGCAAATGCATCTGGTAACTGTAGTCCGTGAAATTCACAAGGTCGTCCTGGATGCTTTTAATTCTGGAAACAAAAAATGGAGAACTGTCGACAAGCCACATTTTCATAACGAGACTGATATTGTCAAATTTTCATCTTAAACTGTATCGCTAGAAAAATTCCGAATGACTTACTCTCGATGTGTTAACAAGGTATAAACCTCTTGGATCAGGATTTCAGGTACGCCAGCTTTGCAATGAATTGTTCCATGGATTAGCTCTTTAGATAATTTAAATTTTTTTCTTGCCAGGAACTTTAATAGTAGAAAGAAAGTATTTTCATTATAAGAAGTTCTATGCAAATCTCCAATTACAACGAATTCATTTAAATCCTCCTTTTATCTCTCAACTATTTTTTTGTGTTTAACATGTTAATTATTAAAAAATATTATTCTTCAGGAAGAAAACCAATTATTCTGTTCCATTCCAATTTGAAATGAGTATGCTCAGTTTCATAAGTGACACTTGACTAACTTTAATAACATTCTTCTCAATTACAGAGAGATGAGCAGCCAACTCCATCGCACAACCACAACCCACACATTGTAGATATCCAAGAGGTCAGGAGTACACCTTTAAAGACACAAAATTCTTAACAAAGTGTGAGTGACTGCGAACTTACCTGTTCCAACTGTGCCCAGTTATCCAACTTGACTTTCAAAGAAGTTCCATTTTCAAAGGATGACAATTTAAGGTCCCAGGGATAATATATAGTGAATATTTCTGCAATCAGGAAACCATTTGAAAAATCCCTGATCCATACGTAGATAGCATTAAGGAAATGAAATAAAATGTAGTTACTTTAACAGTTGTAGTATTTTATAATCAATTAACACCGATTAAATGAATATTCCATACTGATGGCAAATAACAAAAAATTACATTTGTTGGATCAGTGCTCTGAGGAAGATTTGCTATGGAATAGAGTTTTGATAAGATTAGATACACACCAGAGGTTTTGGCGTCCTTTTTATGAACCCATACTGTTAATCTGTATTGAATCTGCATTTTAACAAGATCCCTAGGTGATTCCTAGTCACATTGAAAATTTCAGGCACATCTTTATTAAGAAATATTGAAATTAGTAAACCAGAGTCCTTGACTGCAAAAAAATGTGATCGTCTTCCTATTTGTGGAAGTTAGTTCGCATTCCCAGAGCAGGTATTAACTGCCTGTTAGGTTCGGGGTGGCTGACTGAAAGAGACACGCCGTCCGGAGGGTAAACTGATCCCCACGGGTGTTAGTTGGTGTCCAGCGTCTCTAAAGAAAGAGGCTTGACTGTTGAAATGTTTTTGTGGACACTGAGGCGCTCTACATTAGCCTAAGTCTGAACTGTGATGATTGACTGAACGGGTAAATGGGTGGATGCGTCCTCGTGTGTGGTGTAGACCCGCTCCCCAGAGCAGCAGGTGTATTTGTGCGGGTGTGCGCTGAGCCGGCAGAGGTCTGGGTCGGAAACCTAGACTGGGCGGAGCAGGCAAGCTGAGTGGGGCGGCCCCTGAGCGGCGACGGGGCAGGAGGGGTAAGGGGGTCGTCCGTGGGTCCCCGGGATGCTCAGGCCAGTGTAGGCGGCTCGCTCCTGCACCTGTTGACGTTCCTGGGGAAGAAAGTGAGATCCAGGCCCTGGAGCCAGCGCAGAACCGACCGAGACAGGCGGGAGCTCTTCGGTGGATGAGGATAGACCAGACATTTCTTAGGCTTCCCTCGGGTGGGAGCAGCTGGCTGTAGCGAAAATGACGGTGACTTGGGCAGGGCTGCCGCCGGCTGTATCAAAAACCCTCCTCCCAGGCCGGCGGCAGCCATGTCGCTTTCTAAGTTGCTAAGGCAACACCCGCTGCGGGGCGGGGCCTACGGGGGCGGAGCTTCAGCGAGGCCGAGGGAACTCGGGGGTGGGGCGGGGCCTCGGCGCTGCTGGGCGGGGCCTGTGGTTGGGCGGGGCTTCAGTGGGGTAGGCGGGAGCCAAGGGGGGTCCCCCAGTTTGGGGAGCTGACGCTTGGGAATGGGGGACACGATCCCTGGCCTCATTGGGTGGACGCCTTCAATTTTGGTTGTGGTCAGACTCCTAACCAACTTGGAACTACCACCCAAACCCCTTACTTGCCCTTATAAATTTACTTTTTTTTAAACATTGTGGTTTCAGCGCACAAAATAGGCTTAAAAAAGGCCTATTTTCAGTCAAGCATTTTGAGGAGGATGTGAAAAGTTTCCAGAAGACAAGGTCGGTTTTTGTTCAGAAATTGTCAGTGATAGGGTATTTGCTCCAAAACGCCAAAGAAAGTTTTCGGAATTAAGATGAATAAATGTCTAACGTCTACAGACTTAACATGCTTCCTTAGTTATGACATTCATAAAAATTACATAATATTCAAAATTACTCAAAAATAATTTGTAAGTTTTCACATTTCACAAAGATGTATATATGATTCTTTCCTTCAACAATTATTTGAGTCCCTAGTATATGCCAGGCACTGGCCTAGTCATCTGGGATTTATCAGTGAACAATGCATAGAAAAAAAAATGATTGCAGAGTCAACACCATCAGTTATAAATTAAATATTTACATAACAGATTAAAATCCTTTAAAGTTTTTGCAAAAAATAAAAGTCACTTAATGTGGCATATAGATATGTATTATTATATTATATATTATAATATATAATATATATAAAATATAATATATAATATATATTATATATTATTATTATTATGCAAGATAAAATATGGGCTAGATCTTGATAGTGGAGGTCTATGATATTTGCTGAATGTTTACTCATAAATACATTTATTAATGAATCTGTATATGGTTTAAAAAAATAAATAGGAAAGTGTTTTCTTCTTTCCCAATGAAGTTTTCCTTTAAGGGTTCATTCATTCAGTGAATTTTTGTTTTTTGAGGAGCCCTTCTGTGCTATGTTATGCATTAGATCTTCATGATCCAATACTGTAGCCACAAGCTGCCTGTGGTGATTTAGATATAAATTTAAATAAAATAAGATGAGTAACACTGGCTACATTTCAACTGTTTAATACCAACATGTGGCCAGTGGCTGTGTTGTAGAGTGCAGCTACCCTGTCATTGCGGGAGGTTCCATTAGACAGCTGTGTGCTGGATTATTTATAGAAGGTACACAGATATAAATATCAGTAAAAAGATCATGTACACTGAAAAGCTCTGCCACGATAAAAATATGTTAGTATCAGGGAGGAAGCAAACAATTTGGCCTGAGGGACTCTAGGAGTCCTTTCGGACGAAGTGACCTTTGATTTGCATCTTATAAGGCAGTATTTTAGATTATTTATGACAGAGGTTTTGGAGGACCGGGTCTACTTTTTATTAGTGATGTGACTTCAGGCAAGTTATATAACCATTTTTATTTGTAAAAGAAGAAAATAAATAGTGTGTACCTCAGAGGGTTGTGTTAAGGATTAAATGAACAATATGCAAAGAGCCTAGAACAAGGGTAAATTATTGTTTCTAATATAGGGAATCTGTGGGATGAGGGCGGCGGGGAAGTTCCACACAGAATGATTGCTATACGCAAAAGCACAGATGATATCATCTGAGATTTGAGAGTCTTTGAATGAGTTTGGGGAAATAACTCATTAGGGTTAGAGAAAAATGCCTAGGCTTTGGCATGAAGTCTAACGCAATATTCAGGTAGTAACGGCTAAGGTGGGAGATTAGGGCCCAATTGAGCAGTGTTGCTAAGAGTCAGACCTTTCCTGTAATAAAGGTGCCACTTGTTAGGCAGACACCTCTCTGTTTCAGACACACCATTCTATATTTAGCTTGTTGGAATGCCACAGTGTGATTTCTCCTTTGCTAAAACTTTTATTAAATTGTGACAATAGGGGGAGCTAGAGAGAGGCCGGGAGGGGAAGAGGAGGAGAGAAGGGAAGGGAGATTTGCTGTTTCCCCTTCTGCTTGCCTTTCACCAGGGTGTCACCACAGCAACAAAGCTTAACCTGGCAGTGACAGCTGGTTCCAGTCTCCAACTTTTTTTTTTTTTTTTTTTTTTTTTTTTTTTTTTAGCTCTCCTGGAGCAGATTTCATCATACTCGCTCAGATGTTTAGCAAACGCTGAGAAGTGACCCTCCTTCCAGAGACAGGGATTTTACTCCAGGACGGCCCTTCTGAGCTCTGGAAGAGTTGACACCAGCCCCGTAGTTACCGTCCCCCTTCAAGAGTCATTCTATGGAACTTTCCCTCCAAGTTCTAGGCTCTTATAACCCTAATTTCTTAAATCTGTTCTAGCAGTGGCAATTGCTTCCTGAATCATCTATTTCTGTTAGTTTGACTGACGTAGGAAGGACATTAGGTTTCGAAGTGGAGGGCCAAAGTCTTTGGTGCAAAATTTTATTAAAGCGCGGGGATGGGACCCATGGGCAGAAAGAGGTCCTGGCAATGGGGTCATGAGGAGTGGCCCTTTAGATACTTTCAAGTTGGGAGGGGGTTATGGATAATGAAAGTCTCTAACGAATTTTGGAAGCAAGGTTTCCAGAACCTTGAGGGGGCTAGCTATTGTTGGGGAAAGGTCATTTATTACTGTCTCATAAAACACTCATCATGAGACCCTTTAGATGTATATTGGTGGGTTATATGCTTTGGGGATGATTGCCAGCATGTATCTTGGGGGATTTACAGATAAAGGACATTTCTAAAGGAATTTTTATATGTTAAAATAGGCTTACACGGTCCTGGCGTAGGGGAAGGGGAGGTCAGGCTAGGCTTGCCTCTTGCCCCTAGTGAAGCGCCAACATCAAGGTAGTTGAGTCCCCAGAGGAAAGTCACTCTGCCTGCTTTGGCGACTTGTCAGTGGGCTGGAAGTAGTCAGGACATTTATTTTTCTTTTGCCTTTGTTTCGCACACCATAATGGTCCCGTTTTAGTTTTTCAGTTGGTCAGCCATCTGTTTAACCCTCCCTTATATTAAATTTGTGTTTCATGTGCATAGTTCCAGCTGCCTTCCTGACCGGATGCTGAGTGATACCCCGCTTCATAGGTGGGGTGATGTTTCCCTCCACCACTAGCTGACCTGCCTCTGACCAAGTCATCGGAGGAATGTGCTACTCCCTGTTCCTCAGATCCCGTCAGCAAGATATCATCAACAGAACGGGCCTGTGGGATGTTCCATGGGATGTTCAGACTCTCCGAAACTCGGATGATCTTGTGACAGAGAACAAGAGATTTGACTGAGGCAAGATCCTGAGTATGCACTATTGCTCCTTCTAAATTAAAGCACACTAATTTTGGTCATTCTCGCAGATTATTATAGAGGGGGGGAAGTACTTCCCCAGATCAGGAACAGCGTCACGGTTGCTAAAGACTGGGGTGATTTATTCCAGTAAAGACCCTTCAAATAGGAAAGCAGCTCTAATTGGTGTTCCTGCCTGAATGAAGTGTACAATAACCACAGTCCCCCAGTAAGAGCCACCCAGCTTCCACAGGAGCCAAACAGCCATCCAAGTCAGTGGTTGTCTTTGACTTATCACCCGTCAGGAGAAACTTCAGAGAGCTTTATTTGATATAAATATTTTGTTGAACGAGAAACACACCATTCTTAGTGCAACTGGAAGTGAAGAGTAGTATTTTAGTAATGGATGGTGGGAAGAGGCAATACAAAGTAGCAGAAGGAGTTAGGCTGCCTTCCAGGCAGAAGGAACAGCATTTGCAAAGACAGGGAGGCAAGATGAGTTCAAGGAGAAGCAAGTCTGTTTTTTGATCTTCCTATTGTGAGTTTCCTTAAGAAGGCCCTTCGTGATCTGCCCCCGATCACTCTCTAAAACTTGCTACAATGTTCATTTCACTGCATTTCTTTAATCTCAAGTCCAATAGTTTGGTTTGGCTTGGTCTTTGCCTTTGTGGAATTTTGTCCTTGGATCTTCAGGCATTCATGTGCACATACGCACATATAATAAGATTTGGATTAAAAGACCTTTGAGGTGTCTATTTCAATGTGCACTACTCTACACCTAATGCCCATTATACAATGATTTGAAAACTGGAGGGGAAAAAAATTAGAGCAATTGAATCTTATTCTCCATTACCTTCAATTAGAAAATCAAATACTAATTAGAGAGAAAAGAAAAGGTGTTTTATTCCAGGGATAATAGTCACACTTTAATATATTAACAAACAGATGATATATTTAAATGAGAACAATTCTTTGATAAGACAATCACACTCAAGCAAAGATACAAGATACCAGCACACTAAAATTTTAAGGTGTCCATTTTAATTTTCATATTTGTTATTTACTTCTCTTATTGGTACAAAACCAAAGAAAAGGGATGAATCACATTACCTTACACTCTAAGACTACCTCTAGCTCAGGGAAAATAGTAATAGAAAACTGTTTAACTAGAAAAACAGTCCGAATACCTAGTTATATGTAATGAGGTTACTCAATAATAAAGAAATTGAATGCACATTATTCATGAGGACATTACAAATTTGTTAGGCTGTGATATTCAGTAAAATAGACTCATATAAAACTCTCTAGCCACATAAAAGACATTTTTAAACAAACATGCTACAGCCTACTATTTTTGAAAATCTAAACATGATTTTTAAAAAATGCAATCTAAGTGACTTTGCAGTTATATTCAAGAATAGTGTACTTCCCATGGGTCTCCAAAAGTCAGCTAAGAACTAAAAAGAAAGGAATATAGGCCCCTGGGTTATTAAAATAGTGATCAAAATATTTTATCAAAATTTGATTAATTTATAAAACTCACTAAAATATTTTCTACTTCCCACAGTTTTGAGTATCCAGATTATTTTATTTCTTAGTCCACAATAGACTCAAATCTAGTCTAAAT